GGGTATAGAAAACCCACCATATACTATAGATTGAGTTATAATGTGAATAAGCCACAATTCCTTCTAGAAGATTCGAGAAGCTTCTAGAAGGAATCCACAAATCGTGGATGGAACGAATCTGGAAAAGGACGCACCTTTCTTTCCGAAATTGTGGGAAGAAAGGGAACGCGTAAGAGTGGGAAGGCGTTGGCGAAGTGGGGGGCTATAAAAGCCGTTTGCCCGGTAACAAGAGCGTCTTTCCTCGTCCGATAAAGAATCGGGAACGCTGTCGCGAGTCCCGAAGGAGGGATAAGTCCCGTACGCGAAGTTTATACCGCGTGTCGTTAACAGTCGCGAGTGAACGCGAATCACGTTATCTATCTCCGCCCGAGACACGCTTGTTGTTAATGCACGAAGTGCATCGCGTGTATTTACTACCGATACGACGATACTACGGCGAATTCCGAAGTACGCGACGCGGATCGGCCGACGACGCTCCGCTCGTTGGGAAACGGGTTCGTCATAAATCCGTCGCATGAGCAAAACGGTCCGCGAATTGACTTACGTCATTTCCGCGACACCGCGTGTGACGAAGACGCAAACGCGCTATCGCGTTTAGCGTGAACTTATTGTGTGCAAGCGTGAATGAGTGAGTGTGTGTAGAGTGCGCATGTGAGACATAAGATATTTAAATAAACATTTGTGAAAGCATAAATTGAGACATTGATAAGCGCACCCACACCATCTCCCGCTTCGTACCTGCATGCGTTCGTATCAAAAACAATTCCGGGGCGAGAGATCTAGTAGCAGCCTACCTGGAGGAAGCCGAGCCACAACGAGGACATCGGTAGTAGCCGCTGCCGACCTTCTTCGTTGGAGGATAAACAAAGTGGCGACCGAGTAAGTACCCTAAAGGGAAGGTAATCGGATATTCATTAAATAATAATTCGGTGCTTGCTGAAATTCAAAGAGCTTCAGTTATAAATATTGGCGGCTTAAAGGACTTTGCGGGCGTGAATAACTTCACGCCGACGATAAGGCGCTTCGTGAAAGAAGTCCGATATCGATAGAATCGTAATTTCGGGAGAAGTAATACATAAAATACGGTCATTTTAAATGCACATGATAAAGTCCGGTTACAACTATACGATAAAACTGATTCTTCTAACTCTTTTGCTAATTATTGTCCACCTTTTATTTTCAGGAAACGACCTTGGATGCTCTAGTCGCAGTTCGGTAAGTATTAAACGATATTCATTCGTCCACACAACACACACATTCAGTGCGCTTACAAAATGTTTCTTAACTAATAAATACAATTCTCTTGAGCCTGTATGTCACAATATAATGAAAAATAATATGTCACACATAAAAGTGGTAATTCTTACATAAATTGTGGCTATTGCCATCAGAAATAATAGGAAACAATATAATCGTGGATGGTTTGTCCATCGAACGCAATAAACAAAGCAGTATTAATAACTGAACATGTAATATAATATAATATGCCCTCTCGGGTCTTTTGTCTTTCGCTGAACCACAAATCTCGTTTGTGAACTAAATCGAAATCAAATAAACTAAAGAAAACTAGAACTTAACAATTTATCTTATCATTGTGGAAGGCTTTAACGTAAATAAACTAATAACGCTTGAATACAACACAAAATAATAAATATGGTCCACCTTTTAGTGGCCATGTCTAATCTTTATAACGCGAATTGAGGTTTGAGTCTTTCGCGGATGTCTCCGATGTTTCAGGCTCCGCCTCGGTGTCTTCTCGACTCACCAACACTCTTCCCGTGGCTGGCACTTCCTTGTTCGCCGCTATCCTCATTATAATATTGCGAGCCTGGCCCAACATCGCGTTTGCGTCTCTAGCTGGAAATTCGGCTCGTCAGCAGCAGGAATTGTGGCCGGATGCGCGACCGTTGCAGGCGATGGCTGGAAAGCCAACGGTTGCAAGGTTAGGTTGTAACCGGACTTTTCGGCTATCGGACAACAAATCACGAAGCCCTCAATTCCCGCAGGCCCTTCTGGCTCGTCTTTTCGTGATTCTTGCTAACTTTACTTTACTTTATGACTGAAAACTTTAATAGGCGAGTACCTGTCTCTTATACACATCTC